CTGGTCTCGCTTTTCAAAGAGCTGTGTGTGCAGACGTGATGGTCACGTGGGGAGGTCAGCAGGGCGGGGCCCCTCCTCATCTGTCTCCTGAGCAAACGGAGGCTGAGGGCAGGTGAGTGACCTGGCCAAGCTCCCGTGGACAGCAGTGCAGTGAGTGGCCCAAGGAGGATTAGAGCAGGGCTTTTGTCCCTTCATCTGGCCCTCTTTCTCCAGGGGAAAGTGGTGACTGGGCAGGTATGTCCAGGCTGACAGGAGAGGCAGGGGAAGGGTGCCTGCTGTCCCGCCCCGCGAGGCGCATACGCAGAAACTTGGCAGCACGAGGAGGAAGCCAGGTCTGGGAGGGGGCGCTGGACTGAAGGACGGTGAGGCCACATTCCAGGTCAGGGTGCCGGCCCATTTCAGAGCCCCGATGACGGGGCACGTGCTGCGCTCGGGGAGGAGGTGACGGTGAGCACATGTGTCTGAGCCTGTTCCTGCCGCCTCCAGCTCATGACGAGGGAGCAAGGGGCTGGGCACAGAGCGTTTCAGCATGAGGGTCAGAAGCAGCCCAGCTGACGGGACAGCTGGGGCCAGTGGGACTAGAAGGGTTCAGGGGACACCTGAGCTGAGTGGCTAGTTCAGTGCAGACTGGAGTCAGGCCCTGGAGCCTCGTGGGGGTCTGTACCTATCAGTGCTGCGGACTCGGGCGTCACTCACTTGTTACCTAATTGCTTCACCCTCGGTTTTCTCAGTGGTGGAGGGAGGTGATGGTCGGAGGGGAGGGAGTAATGGTGAGGCTCTAATGACCGCGGGGGTCTTGGGAGCGTCGGTGAGTGCTGGCTGTGACTGAAGGGCCAGCGGGAGTAGACCAGCCAGGACCTTCCACGTCGGGAAGGCCTGAGCGAGTGGAGGGCGGACCTGCAGGACGGTGCTGCGCCCCGCTGAGATGGTCAGGAGGGGCCCGGAGCCCCAGCCCAGGAGGTGGCCGCAGGGTTGGCAGCCATAAGAAGCCCCTGAGTCCGAACCCCCGTGATCCCCCCCAGACCCTTCTCTGTACGCTGGTATCACCTCCCTATGGAATGGGCTATTTTTAGCCCTCTGTCTTTGGGTTAATGGGCTGTTCAGGGTCCTTCCCTTTAACTGGGCTATTTCAGGAGCAGACATCAGTCTCCTGCTCATTTGAACACTTGGCTCAAATTTCAGGAAAAGCTGACAGGAAGGAGTTTCCAAAGTCACTCACTCAGCGCCCGTACTTGGGGGGCGTCTGTCTGTCCATCCAGCCTCCACTAACCCATGGCCAGCAGGGCCCCTCCCAAGAGCCTGCATTGTTCCAGGGCCGGGGGTGGGGCACCCTGGTGGGGAGACAGACCACAGACGCGTCAGCGTGAGC